GTATGTTGTCCAATAGGGACGCAGGAAAGTAAACGTCAATTTGACATAGACGACATCATTGTTTTCTGTCACCGACATGTGATTTTGTTAGTTGAATGTTTACCATTGATCGCTATGGAGTCGTATTCGATTGACGATCGCATTAAAGTTATTCAAGAGCACTACAAACATGTGCAAAAATAAAAAACGCGTTTCGCGCGCTTCGTGAACATTTCGGTCGCAATAACCGCCCAAACGAAACAACCATCGGTCGTCTGGTGCGTGAATTCGAGGCAACAGGTTCTGTGGCAAATCTGCCAGGCTCTGGCCGGCCAAGGAGCGTTCGCACGCCGGAAAATATTGCTGGAGAGTATGAGAGTGTGAGAGACGATCCGAAACAATCAACAACGCGTCGATCCCAAGAATTGGGCATTTCGAGAATCAGTTTGCTCCGCATTCTCCACAAGGATTTGAATGTACACGCCTACAAGATCTAATTGACGCAAGAGCTGCGTCGGGCCGACCATTTTTCACGCCGAACGTTCTCAGATTGGCTCCTTGAACACCGCCAAATTGATGCCAATTTTTCATTAAAAATCATGTTCAGCGACGAAGCGCATTTCACTTTGAATGGGACGGTAAACAAGCCAAACTGCCGCATCTGGGCGAACTAAAATCCCCGTGAGTATCAAGAGCAGCCGATGCATCCTCAAAAAGTGACTGTGTGGTGTGCATTGTGGTCAAAAGGTATCATCGGACCTTACTTTTTCGAAAATGCGGCCGGGGACGCCGTTACCGTCAATTCTGAGCGATATCACCTGACGATAGAGGACTATTTTTTGCCGCAACTTGAAGGAATGGATATGGACGATGTTTACTTCCAACAAGATGGCGCAAAATGCCACACATCCAACGTCAATATCCATCGATTGCAGTCCTTCTTCGGTGATCGCGTGATTTCGCGCAGAGGAAATGTGCCATGGCCACCAAGATCGTGTGATTTGACTCCCTTGGACTTCTTTTTATGAGGATATTTGAAAATCAAAGTCTATGCCAACAAACCAGCCACCCTCCAAGAACTCAAAAACAACAACATTGCCGAGATAAATGCCATAGAACCGACCATGTTGCAAAATGTCATTGAAAATTTCGACCATCGCGTGGACGTCTGTAAATCCAGTCGTGGTGAACATTTGAGCGATATTATTTTTCATACATAAATGGTATAAATGAACCATCAAAATAAAGTACCCAACTTGATTTGAATATCAATCTTTCTTGTTTTAATATGCGTTTACTTTCCTACGTCCGTTTTGGACAACCCCATATAACATTCTAAGTAACAGACAGCATGGATTTCGCAAATGTATGTCTACAGAGTCGGGCTGCATTGACCTAGATTAATACATATCCGATAAACTGGACAGAGGGGAACTTGTGCTCACTATATCATTTGACTTGACACGTGCGTTTGATACAGTTGACAAAATCTTTGTTAAGAATAAAATAGAGCTTATGGGACTGCGGGTACTATTAATTCTTTTATCTTTTCTTACTTATCAGGTAGTACATTTGCTGTTAAAATTGATGAATCAGTGTCCGATTATTATAATCAAGATATCGGTACCCCACAGAGTAGTGTTCTTGGACCCCTGCTCTTTCTTTTTTTCATAAACGATTTACCAGACCACATCACTGAAGGCGGAGTATTTTTATATGCGGATGATACTACTGCAGTGGTTTCTGCTGTATCTGAAACAGAAGGTGAATACAATATTAATATCAATCAATAACCTTTATTTCCATACAGACAATATATAATTGTATCGGAATTGTCAATTTTTCGTTCGCTACAAACCTACAACTAATATCAAATTGCTATGTTCAAAAATTCATCAACACGATAAAAGCACTTATTTATCAAAAACTCCTTCAACAGGAACTTAAAGTCGTTAATATTTTTAACCGAGGTAATGTGGCATAGTAAATTATTAAAAACAAGCGGACCAATTTTATTAGGTGATCGAAATGCTGCTTTTGATTTGCTAAAGTTTACATATAAATTATTACAAGTCCTTGTATCATAATTATGCATATCACAATTCCGCTTGAAATTTTCGTTATTTTTAAAAACATGTAAGCACAATTCATATATATACAACGAAGGGACAGTTAAAATGTTGAAACTTATAAAACATTTTTTGCAACTTTCTGTTGGTGAGATGCCTGCTAATGATCGGATGCATCTTTTTTGAGACACAAATACATCTTCAAAGCGCGTTGACCAACCCCAGAAACATACTCCATATCTTAATCTCGAATCCACATTAGCAAAATAAACTTGTATCAATTGTTCAGCTGTTAAGATGGTTTTTAATTGCCTCAACACATAGCTTTGAGAGTACATTTTTGATGTGAGAAATTCGCAGTGGGCCTTCCAATTTAAGTTCGAATCAAAATGAACTCCAAGAAATTTCACTCCTCCTCTAAAATCGAGTTGATCGTCACCCAATCTAACTTGAAACTCTTCTACAGTTTTTTGAGCATGATGAAAACGAATAAGCGTTGTTTTGGAAGGATTCAAGTAAAGTGGGTACCGGTTAAACTATGTATTGATATTCCTAATTAAGTTGTTACATTTATCTTCCAAAATTATATTTGAATTACTTGATATTATCTCAGAAACGTCATCAGCATATGCTGTAAAATGGGTATCTGGATGAACGTTATCAAACCGATTAATATATAAGAGGAAAAAGATTGGTCCAAGAATAGAGCCCTGAGGGACTCCAATCGAAATGTCTAACGTACTTGACAAAAAGTTTTTCATATTGTTTCCTGCATCAAGATATTCTAGTGAAACATATTGTTTTCTTTGGACTAAAAACGATCTGGCCCATTTAAGAGACTGACCGACAAAACCATATTTAACAACAATCTCCAAGAATTTGTTGTGATCAACGCAGTCGAATGCCCTACTGAGATCACAAAATACCGCAGTAAGGCACTCGCCCGCGTCGATGTATTCTATAAGCTTCTCATAAAAGGAATGTATGGCTGACATTGTGGTCTTACCATCTGTGAAACCATGCTGGTTTTGAGACAAAATATTGTTGTTCTTAAGATGTAGAAGAAGTCTATCCAAATAGGCATATTCAAACACTTTAGAAAGTACAGACGGCACAGTGATTGCCCTGTGGTTTGTAATATCAAGCTCGTTCCCCTTTTTTAGAATTGGTATAACTTTGCCTAGTTTCAGCCTACTTGGGAACTCTCCGCAGCAAAATGAGATATTTATAAGGTGTGTTATTGGTTTTATTATAAGATGTAGTACTTCTTTTACCAGAAAATTGGGAATGTCATCAAAACCGCAAGATTTGGAATTTTTTAATTTTTTCAAAAGTAAGTTACTGAGCTCATTATCTGTATAAGGGTAAAGTTTGAAATAATTTTTGATATTAAATTTGAAATCAGCTGCACTATCTGAGGTATTAATTTTTTGTATTATATCATCTGGAGCATTTTTAAAAAAATCATTGAACATATTTGCCAACAGCTGAGGGTCGTACACTTTTTCATTTTGATCTTTATGTAGAACTTTATTTTTTCGAACTTTGTTCTCATTTTTAGTTGCATTGACCACTTGCCAGCACGCTTTGGTGGTATTTTTAGAGAATACAATTTTGTTTTGGTAGAATGTTCGTTTTGTGTCTCTGATCAATTTTTTATGTGCCTTTTTAGCATCATTATACAGTGACTTTAGTCTTGGATTTATTTGTGAAGTATGATATAAATCTTTCAAATTATTGCTTGAATCTCTTACGTTATGTGTGACCCAACTTTTTGAGCCGTTTCCCTTACAGGCTTTATGTAAAGGAAAATGCGTATTAAAATAGTACAAAAAGATATTAAAAAAAATTCCAAACGACTCAGAAACTGTAAAGCTAGAGTAAACTGACAGCCAAGATTCGTTTAATAAAGATTATTTACAGTCGCTAATTGCGTTTTGATGAAAACTTCTTTTGTTCAGGTAAATTTTGTCCGATTTCTTGGAGCAAAGATCGAAGTCCCACAGAGTCGTTCTGTGATCTGACACTGTATTATCATAGACACAGGAAACGAACAGAGTAATATTGGTAAAAACGTGGTCAATGCTCGTGGCCGAAGTATTTGTCACTCGGGTTGGCCAACCGCCTTTATGATACAAACCAAACATAGAGAAAATATTACATAATTTCATAAAATTAATACATTTTGACTGATAACAATTAAAATTAAAATCGCCACATACAAGCAATATATAATTAGGATCAAAAACAGTATTTAAAATTTCTTTTCTAAAAATACGCCTACGTCACCATTAGGTGAACGGTAGCAATTTATTATCTTAATTTTTTTGTCTGAAATGATACAAGATATTGAACAAACTTCAATGTCCAATTCAAAACAATATTTATTCAGATCTATTGGCTTGTATTGTAAATCTTTACGAATGTATACAGCAACACCACCTCTTTTCTGATTAGTTCGGGCATAAAAACTTGCTAATTCATAACCATCAATTTTATAGCTTACCATTGATTGACCATTAGTCCATGTCTCATTAAAGCAATAAAATAACAAGTTTTTGAACATAGACATTTCAATTGATAGTTCATCAATTTTGTCAAACGTTATCCCATTTAGATTTAACAGAAGTAATTTAGGATCAAAGACTACTGGGTCGATTCGACTGTTTTTCTCCGAAAGAAAAAACGTTGTACATAACAACCTTGGGGCCACAGTTCTGGGTTCATTGCTGATTTAAAGTTATTTTCATAAACCGAAATTTTAAAGAAAGCGTAACGTTCCGGATATTTCGACTTTATGTTATTAACTAGAACTTCAGGAAAATGGGGTGTCAAATAGATTTTCATCGCTTCATCAGTTGTTGTGCGATCAAGCCTGGACACATGTAGAGTTGCCATCTTAGGAACAGCTGAAGGCACATTACTACTTGTTTGACTATATGTTCCAATTACTGGTCTTTTTCTTTTATGTGTCACACTCTTCCAGCAGCTGTCGCTATCACCGTTCTGGATTGGTTGACTAGCAAACATTGGACTGCTTAATACTCTTTGAGACTGGGCTTCATACACTGGTCGTGAAACTTGCTGCGATGTTATAGTAGTTGGGCAGTGATTAGTCGCTGACCGCTGAGGGTTAACAGATCTCTGCTGCCTGAAGTGATCAACAGTGTTTAATTCGTCTGATGGTTTTCGAGTCGTCACCTCGCTACTTCTGGCTGAGGAAAAATTCACTGGGACGGATGATGATTGTGGTGGGAGACTACAGTGCTCCAAGAGTTTGCTAACTGGTGTAATCTAAATGATCTAATGATTAATCACGATAAGACTGTAGCTATGAATATAAGATCTGTGAAGAAGCAATCCTGTAATGTTAACTTGTTCCTTAATGGCCACAACATCGAGCTCTCTCTGTCTAAAAATTTTTTGGGCTTAGTGGTGGATTGCCACCTAAACTGGGAAACCCATATCCACAGGATTTGCAAAAAGTTAAATACAGGCGCCTTCGTCATAAATAGTCTAAAAAAAATTGTGTCGTGAAACCTTGATTAGTGTCTACTATGCGTTTATACCTGTATACTCGGTCCTGTCATATAATATTGTTGTCTGGGGACAGACCTCAACTATCGACAGAGTCTTTATCACACAAAGAGGAGTAATTAGAAACATGTGCAATTTATCGTTCAAGACGTCCTGTAGAGACAATTTTAAGAAATATCAACTCTTGGCCGTCTTCTCAATTTATTTGCTAAAACCACTATCCTATACTCATAAAAACAAATGCCCTTTTGAAAATAACTCACATTTTCATGATTATAACACGAGGAATAAGAACCAATTTTGATTAGGTAAGCATAACTTAACTACTCACGAAAAGTCGAGTAAATATGCTGGTACATGAATATACAACAATTTACCAGAATTTCTTAAACAAATAGATAATATTATGCTCTTCAAAAAGCACCTTAAGAGGACGCTCTTCTCTAACACCTTCCACATCATAGATGAGTTTCTTGCATTTTTGAAGGACCTGAAATAATGCAATTGTCAAGAGGTTCATTAACTTGGCATTCAAATGCACTTTTTAAATCGTATGTTTTCAGTTTGTCTGTTATTCTTTTAGTATGTTTTGTATTTCACCTTTACTTTTTAGACGTATTATATGTGATACTTATGACGTGTTCCTTTCTATACTTATATACAGGGTGACGCATCGAAAACGAAACAGACGCATTTACTGTCAGCTCAGGTTTTTTTTTGGAAAAACGCTCAGACCCGTCGATTTTGTTTTCGAGGGGGACACAAGTTTCTTCCCCACAAATCCGTGATCCCAATGGCCACCTACATACTGATGCCGAAAAATCTGCCAATCTTCTTGCCGATGCTTTCACTGAAGACTTTGTGAATGAACCTGATGGTGATGGTACTCTTCTGAACTTATCCAGCCCTCATAGATGCCTAGCGACCATCTGTAGCATAGATTTTCAACCTCAGGACATTGAGAGGCACGTTACTAAACTGAAAACTTGTTCGTCCCCTGGAAAGGATGGGATTACTTCTGCCGTTATGAAGTCCTGTGCCTCAGCTCTCGCATACTCCCTGTGCATTATATTCAACTCCTCGATTCAAAATCACATCCTTCCTTCCTGTTGGCGTACTGCATCTGTGACATCTATATACAAAAAAGGAGATAAAACATCTGCGAAAAACTTACGTCCTATCAGTCTTGTGCCTATAGCTGCGAAGATAGCCGAAAAGATCGTCCAGGAACAACTTATGACATTTGCGTTCAAGAACAACCTGCTGCCTAGCAACCAACATGGTTTTATTCCTGGTAGATCAATTATCACCAACATGTTACACTGCATTGACAATTGGACCAGATCTTTAGACGCAAATGAACCGGTCGACGTGGTTTTTCTGGATTTTTCCAGAGCTTTCGATCGAGCTCCGCATAAAAGGCTCCTGCACAAGCTTGAACATCTCGGAATCAGGGGAAATTTGTTGTTATGGATTGAAGCTTTTTTGTTAGACAGATCTTTCTCCGTCCGTGTTGGAGACGCCTATTCTTCTAGCCATCGTGTTACTAGTGGAGTTCCACAAGGATCTGTGCTAGGGCCAATACTTTTTCTTCTTTATGCAAGCGACCTTCCCACCCGACTTTATTCTATGTATTTCATCTATGCAGATGATACTAAAGTCTATAACACTGTCATGAACTCATCTGTGCTTCAAGAAGACCTCAAGCTGATCAGAAAGAGGTCAGAACTTTGGCTCCTGCCTTTAAATCTATCGAAATGCTACGTTCTCCACCTGGGAAATAATAATCCTAACTTAACATATAAGATTGGCAAACGTTCCTTAGAGACTGTTCTTCATCACACAGATCTTGGTCTGACAGTTAATGGCCGGCTCACCTAGTCGGAGCACATACAGAACATAACCTCTAAGGCAAAGCGGTTGCTATATATGATGGAAAGATCATTTAGCGGTTGCACCGTTAGTACCTCCTCCTTTTTGTACACAACTTTCGTACGACCCCTACTGGAGTTTGCTGGTCCGGTATGGGATTCAAACCTTGTTCGCGATAGCAGCTTATTAGAGGCCGTTCAGCGTCGTGCTACACGTATGCCATATGGCACACGTAGGCCAAGTTATGAAGACCGCCTCGAGCTATATAACCTGCCTGCTTTTGCTGATAGAAGAGTACGAGGAGATCTCATCATCACTTTCAGAGCACTGCATAATTTGTTTGGTGTGGACATGTCGCATCTGTTTCGTCTGGCAACGAACAGTCTCAGAGGCCATAACTTCAAATTGCAGAAGGAAGCTTTTAGAACTTCTACTCGTCAGCGCTTCATCTCAAACCGTGTCTTCGATGCATGGAACAGTCTTTCATCTTATGAAGTGAACTCGGAATCCGTCAACAGTTTCAAAAACAATTACGATAGACACCGCAGTGCTTAACATATTGTTCCCATTCTGTATATGTCTACTTCAGAAGTGCTAAGATTGTCAAATTGTTATATTTCTTTTGTCTGTACACTATTATCTATTTTTGTGTTTGAGTTTATAGTACTTGTACTCAACTCAAATTTGTTGTTTAATAATAACGTCACAAAAATGTTTCGCTTTTACAACACTTCCTCGCCCGTAGACGTGCAAAGTAAAAGATGACTAACACAATATTAACCCCGTTGTGCTACAGAGAAAGGCCTTTTTCCTACTACAATGTTATTTAGAAATCACTTGCCTCAGCTGCGAAACTTGCCTATTCAGGCCGTAAAGTCTCAATATTTGCATAGAACGCTAAACGTAAGTGAGTCTCTCTACCCATTTAGAGAGACGTTCGCGTTCGCGTACGTTACGAAAGGAATCCCTTAACAGACAGTCCATTAAATTAATACATTGTCGCTATAATTGACGCAATTACGTCTGCGAAGCGCGCGCGTTCGGTCTCATATGTCGTGTCTGGATAAAAGGGAATCGTCTTATCCTTCTGCTGGGGCGAATTGCATTCTGGGATCGTGGCCTGGTGAAAGCCACTAACCGCGAGGTAATTGGATAAGTGATTACTGAACGAGGAATCTTATACAGGATGCTTCAGAAACGTGGAGCTGCAATCCAACGAGGGATCCTTGGAAAGAGCACGTCACTCTATGAGGAAGAGATTGAAGCCATATAAAGAAAACGATACTACAGTATATTCAGATAAGAGATAGACCGGATGTAAACAAAAGGTTCGGGTGATTTTCACGCTAACGCCGCCGTCTCGACGTAAAACAGGAGCCGTCAGTGGTCAATTCGCAATTAAATGCCTATGCCGAGCGGCAGAGCAGTCGTATCAAGGCAGAGTCACATTCAGGTTCAGACGTGTTACGTATGTCGTGTGCATCATTGCAATTTGACATTTCTTTGGACGTTTTCGTTTGTTATCTTATTAAGTTGTTGAGTTTGTCGTCGTTATTGTTATATCTTGTTATTGATTGTTATTGTTATCAACTGCTTGCGCAAAATGCCCAGTAGTACAGATACTGCCGATGAAGTTGTAAACTCCTGTAGTCCACCTAGGAAACGCTCTAAAAAAAGACACCTGAGTGCAGAAATGAAAGAGGTCATTTTGAATATATATATAAGATCGAGCGCGAGGAGAACGAGGCATCAACCATCAAAGAAATTGTTGTGAAGGTTTCTCACAAAGTTGGGGTGTGTCGCGCATCAGTGTTTAATGTGTTAAGACAATACAAAACAAATCACACCTTTTCTGAGCCAATGACCAGTAAACATCGCAAAAGTATTGTTAAATCATTGGATGAAGCTGATAAGCATGCGATTAGGAGGAAAGTGCATGAATTCTTCTTTAGGAATGAAATACCTACTATAGATAAAGTACTGCAGGAGGTAAATGGAGATACAACGTTGCCAAACTTCAACTTTCCATGCGTTACTGAAGCATTTAAATTTCAAATGGAAAAAACGGGGTCGTAATAGTTTACTACTGGATAGAGAAGAAATTGTGCTATGGAGGAGGGATTATTTAACAAAAATTGGGAAATATAGAAATCAAAACAGGAAGATTTATTACCTTGATGAAACGTGGGTAAACGCAGGACACACTACAAGTAAAGTATGGGTTGATGATTCTGTAACTTCATCCAGGAGGGCCTTTCTAGATGGACTGTCCACCGGATTAAAAGATCCAGCAGGTAAATACGAGTAATAGACAACAATCGGATGTTTTGCAAACCTTGGGAACAAGGTTCTAAACATTAATTCCAGGGGGCAGATAAAACATATTACAAGTAACAAAACTTTTATAACTTTCGATAAAATGCGTGGATGTTTTATTGTCATTTTCATTTGTTAGAACTTTTTTAAGCCATGTTTTTATGTGTTTTCGATATTTCAATAATTTTTTAATATAATCTTAAAATATGTCGAATATTATAAACTTAAAAAAAGTTACTAAGTTTTATATTGTGTACCGTTCCTAATATTTCTAATCATTTTAATTCATACTTTAAGCTTTATAAAGTTATAATTTGTTAATATCAATATTTGCGCGTATTTCAGGTACCTGATCATTCATTTTTTAAAGGTTTGTAACTTTAAAGTAAATTGTGAAGCGCTGAGTAATCATACGACGTTCAATAT